TTTTTCCCAGTTCATTTTTCGGTTTGCTGTTAATGGGTTTTGCCTTGCAGTATTGTTTAAAAGTGTTATGCTGTAGTCATTAGCTATTGCTCCACGGCAAATTGTCCCAAAACTTAGTGGCTTAAAACAACGATAATTATTTCTCTCTCACGGTTTCTGTGGGACAGGAATTCAGACAGGGCCAGCAGAGATGGCTATTCCATTATGTCTGGGATTCAGCTGGAAGACCTGAAAGCTAGAAAATGGAATTGTCTGAAGGCATCATTTGGTGTTTGATGCTAACAGTATCGGCTGGGAGCTTAGATGAGGCTTTTGATAGAATATCCACACACGGCCTCTCCATGTGGCCTGGATTCCCTCACAACATGGTGGCTGGTTCCCAGGGCAAGTGTGCTGGGAGAAAGCCAGGCTTAGGCTGCATCTCTTTTTATGACCGAGTCTTGGAAACTGTGCGGCAGTGTAGTTACAAAGGTCCACCCAAGGGTAAGAAGAAGGAACACAGACTCCACTTTTATATGGAGGAGGGTCCACATCCTTCAAGAGTACCACATCCTCTTTTCCTGTGCATTTATTGTAGATGTGAGGCCCAGAAGTGCTGCGGCCATCTTGCTACCAGCTTGAGGCTCTCCAGCTCACAGAGGAGGGCGGAGCCAAGAGAATCACGGGAAAACAGAGCCTGAGCCGCGCATTGGTCCACTCTGTCTCCACTCTATCTCTGGACTCCCAGTTACCTGAGCCAATGCAGATCCTTCTGTTCAAGCCAATGTGAGTTGGCTGTCTATCACCTGCAGCCCAATGCTTCTTATTTTGTATAATCAGATAATTTAATTGCACTTAATGATTTCCAAGATGGCTATGCTGAAAGGTGGGCACTATTTTCCTCATTATATAGATGAAGATATTGAGGCTTAGAAGGGTAAAGTAACTTGCTCCAGGTCACAAGGCTAATTGATGACTAAGTGGGGATTTGAACCCAGATTTTCCTCTTTCCAGATTGCCTTATCAGGCAGAAATGTGGGACCTGTAGGAGGCTGGGCTGTACCATGAGAAGCTGACCTTTATTTGCTCCGTGCAGTGATTGGGAGCTCTGGCCACATTGTCTTTCAGTTGTGGCTTTATTTGCTCTCTTCTATTTAATCTGTTTTAACTATAATATTTTATATAAATATTCAAAAGGATTCTGACAAATGGAGAAGGAAAACAAGAAAAGTAAAGGGAAAACTGCTTTCCTGAGAAAGCGAGCCCATATTTCCAGAGTGTAAACAGTGGGCCTGCACATAAAAACCTCATTAAAATGTCAGCGTTATACCTTTGTACTCGAGACTGAATAGGAAATCACGCCTGCCCCATTATTTATGGCTCATCAATAATACATTAGCTCAGCTTCCAGTGAAGCTCACGCTCAGGAGAGGACAGGCCTCTGTTTGGTTTATTCGGCGCCCGAAGCGGCATAGCAAGCCCATTTCACCTGGGTAGTCGTTTGGTTGAAGCCCCTGGACTTAAACTCCCAGGGGCAGCCAGTTCCTCACTCCCTCCCAATGCTTCCTTCACCCCTCCCCCAAACCAGCCCCTTCCGCTCGCAAGTTACTTCCCCACGGAAGCCTTCCTTAAGTGTATGTCAGGACTCCTTCAGTAACCAGTGAGGGAAACTTGGTCAAACTGACTTATTTAAAAACAAACAAAAAACCCAATAAAACAAAACTGCACGCTTGTGCGTGTTAAAAATTAGACCAGTTGCCGTCAACCGACTCCTACTCATGGCGACCCTACCAGGTCAGAGTAGAATTGTGCTCCATAGGGTTTTCAATGATATAGCTCAACCTCGTACATTAACCCTCCAGGCTCAGTTACCAACCAAAAAAAAAAAACCCAAACCTGTTGCCATCAAATCGATTCTGACTCGTAGCGACCCTACAGGACAGAGTAGGACTGCCCCACAGGGCTTGGTTAGATCCCCTATTATATGCCCTCATAGAATTTATCATCAGTTTATAATGTCATCCACAGTTTCTTATTTCAACCAGCCAATAGGTTTGTTAAGTGTGAGGTTATGCAAGCCTCTGAAGTCTCGAATAGCAGCCTCAGTCATCTTTCTGGGCCTCCTGGGAAGGGTGTACACAAGGGTAGATAACATCACAGCCAAGGTTGCCGAGAGTAACTCCCTGGGCCTCCCCCTATCCTAGCACTGCACCTGGAACAGGGTTGGGGCTCAGTAAATCTTCACTGAATGAATGTGCTTGATGACTTCTCCAAGTGTTTATTACCGTTGGAAAAATGCACAGCTAATAAGACGTGATTTCTTGTTGGGGAAATAATTAAAAATAAAATCTCTTGCCAACCCAATAAATCCTCTCCACAAAATGTAGGAAAAAAATGAGACAATTTTGTTCTTAAATACGCATTAAGCCAGACTGCGATGCACATCATAGGCATTCTGTAAAAGAGATAGCAAAGACAAAAAGAAATCTCACCCTTTTATGTAGCCAGGTAGATGCCATTCATTCCATCCATCCTAATTGTCTGTACCCAAAGGGAAAGTACATCTTCTCATACCTTTTTGATGAGCAGGAAGTGACAATGTGGAGCCATGTGCCCAGGCTAAACTCCCAGGGACAGGAGACAGGACACCACCATTCTGGATGGTCACATTTCAAAGAGATGGTTCCAAGGTCTCCAAGAAAGACATTCCTGGGATGCAAAACTGGTAAAAGTCTCATTTAGCCTTTAAAAAGATTTGCATACATCTCAAAGAATCAGAGAAAAGATTTATTATTGCAAGTTTTCTAAAGGAAATACTGAAAGAAAAGGGAGAAGGGAAAGTTCTCTTTCTGTTTTGACACCAGGAGTTTGTATTCCCTCTTACATTCTATCTCACCGGGGTGATAAGAGTACCTGTCTAATCCGCAAAGGATCATGAGGATGGTGCAGGACTGGGCTGTGTTTCGTTCCATTGTTCATAGGGTCACCATGAGTCAGGAGTCCAACTCAACGGCAGCTAACAATAGCAAAAACAAACCACTGGAGAATGATTGACCCTAGAACTAAATACAGGATCTCCCATCCTCAGGGTAACCTCTAAATTACTGTCGTGAGAATTAGTGAACTTCTCCTGCGTTTGGGGTTGTCATGACATAATGTCCCACCCTCTCTGTGCTGTGAGACCAGCAGAAAGGGTTAGAATCAAGACCTAGGAAGCCATCAAGATCAAAGAGATGAGAAAAAAACATTCTTTGATGGTTATGAGGGTGAGGAGGGAGAGGGAGGGGAAATCACTAACTAGATAGCAGGTAAGTGTCAACTTTGATGAAGGGAAAGACAACATACAATATAGGGGAAGTCAGCACAACTGGACCAAAACAAAAGCGTGGAAGTTTCCTAGACACATCCAAACACTTTGAGGAACCAAGTAGCTGGGGCTGGGGGCTGGGGACCATAGTCTCAGGGGACATCTAGGACAATTGGCATAACATAGGTCATAAAGAAAATGTTCTACATCTCACTTTGGTGAGTAGAGTCAGGGGTCTTAAAAGCTTGTGAGTGGCCATCTAAGATACATCTATTGGTCCCATCCCATCTGGAGCAAAGGAGAATGAAGAAAACCAAAGACACAAGGAAAATGTTACCACGTGAACCAGAGACTCCACCAGCCTGAGCCCAGAAGAACTAGATGGTGACCGGCTACCACCACTGATGACTCTGACAGGGATCACAGTAGAGGGTCCCGTACAAAGTTGGAGAAAAACGTAGAACAAAATTCAAATTCATGAAAAAAGACCAGACTTACTGATCTGACAGAGAATGGAGAAACCACTGAGACTGTGGCCCCTGGATGCTCTGCTAACCCAGAACTGAAACCATTCCTGAAGCCCACTTTTCAGACAGTAATTAGATAGGCCTCTAAAACAAAAAATAACATACGTGAGGAACGTGCTTGTTGGTTCAATCAAATGTACAAGATCAGATGGGCAACTCCTGTCTAAAAACAAGACAAGAAGGCAGGAAGGGACAGAAATTGGACAAATGGACACAGGGAACCCGGGGTGGAAAGGGGGACTGTGCTGGCACATTGTGGGAATTTCAACCAATGTCACAAAACAATATATGTATAAATTTCTGAATGAGAAATTAACCTGAGCTGTAAACTCTCACCTAAAGCACAATAAAATTAAAAATTTTTTAAAAAGTAAGGAAATGGGGCAGGGGGGAGACAATCAAAGAGATAGCCCCTTTCTGTCACTCATGGGGATTATAATGAAGTTTAGAGGGTATACAGTATGGGAAATGAGGGAAACTCTCAATGAGATGGATTGACACAATAGCCTCAACAATGAACTCAAACACACCCACAATCATGAAGATAGCACAGGGCAGGGCAATGTTTTGTTCCATTATGCGTAAGGTCACCATGAGTTGGAGCCGACTCAGTGACAACTAACTTCAACAACAAAGTATGGTATTTCCTCACAATGGCCGTAACAATATTTATGGTCCCAACAACTATTTTAAAGCATACAAGAGATGGCTGGGGGGCAGGGAGTTTAAGTCAATGGGAGTGAAACAACTAGAACAGAAATAACTAGAAGGTTGGCACGATATGAAGAATGTAACCAATGTCACTGATCATTATGTCTGGAACCTGCTGGATGGGAGTAGGTTTTACTGTGGATGTGTTCACCAAAAATAACATAAAATATTTTTTAAAAACACTATTTATGGTCTCACTACTTTTCTAGAACCTTCCCCCTCTCCCATCAAGAGGTGGAGTCTATGTCACGTCCCCTTGCACCTGGGCAGGTTTGGTGGTCATCTTGACACTAGAAAGCAGCAAAAGTGGCATTGTGTGTGGCTTCTGAGGGTAGGTTATCAAATGTGATACAGCTTCCAGCTGGCTCTCTCTCAGGACACACACCTTTGAAGCCATGAGCTGCTGTGTAAGAAGTCTATCCTCCCTGAAGCTGCCATGTTGGGAGAACCGCATAAAGCAAGAGAGAGAGACGGAGATGCAGGAGGAGCTCCAGCTGTCAGCCCCCAGCCGTTGGAGTCCCCCAGCCCAAGCCCAGATGCGGAAGTGAGCAAGTCTTTAGGTGATTCCAGTCCTAGCCATTGTCTGACAGCAACCTGAGCAAGAATCACCTGGATGAGCCCCATCAACCCCAGAACTCTGAAATAACAACAATCATTTCTGTTGTTTTATATCCCCAGATTTGAGTGTAATAGGTATAAGTGTCATAGAACCAAAAACCAGAGTTCACATACCAGCAAGTCTACCTCCCACCTGTGTGATCTTGAGTGAGCCTTCTCAGATCTCAGTCTCCTCTTCTGTTAAGTGGGTATAACGATATTACCAAGTGGGGTTATTCTCCTTTTGCAAGCTCACCCCCTCCCAAATCCATTCTCTACCTTCTCCACCCAGGGGGTTAAACTCTATGGACAGTTTCTCCTGTCTGCCTTGTCTCTGGCTTCTGGTTGGTTCCACCATTGGAAGACCTCACCACGAGATCAGTAGACAGCAGAAGAGGGAGGTCAGGGTATTTATTTCACCACCTGACCCACTCACCAGGCCACAGTTTTGATGGTGTCTGCATTCCTCTACGACCAAGCTGCTAGAGGTGACCCCTCTCCCAGGGACGGCTCTTGTCAGATTCTGGGGACACTGCTCCCTCTTCTTGCCCCTTCAGCCCACTGTTACTAACCCCTGGGGCCTCACCATCCCTTGTTGGTTCCCTTAACCCTGCCTATACCTCTGTGCATAGTTTTCCATTATACTCTCTTCAGTTAAACCATTGAGCAAGCACCCTCTTCTCCTGCCAGGACCCTGCCTGCTACTGCACGGAGTTGTTTTGAGGATCACAGAGTTGTTTGAGATGATGTGTGCAAAAGAGCTTTGGAAGTTCCACGGGTAAGGAAGTCATCTTCACATTCGAGAGGAAAGAGCACGTGTTGAACCCAGTCCTGGGTTCAAACCGTAACTCCACCTCTTGTTATCTGTGTCCACAGGGGCAAAAGCTTATCCCCATAAGGCCTCACATTCCCATCATATAGTCTTGGAGGATCAGTTATGATAACACACCCCAAATTCCTAACAGACTCTAGCACATGGTGGGCGTTAAATACTTTGTTCCCTTTCCCTTCTCTTCCCCTCCTATTATGAAATTCTTTTCTCAGGCCAGCTTTACAAAGCCACGAGCTGCATCCATGGCTTGTACAAGGGCCTCACACAGAGCCCTTCAGACCCATGTCTCAACCCTCTGAGAGGCAGAGTCCCCTTTAAGGAAGAATGGCTTGCCAAGGGCCAGAAATTTATTGAATTTCCCAGAACAAATGTTGATTTTACTTTTTCACTGGAGACCATGAGGCTCAGGTAGAGAGCACAGATTGCCTTTCTGTGTTTTATTTTTATTTTTTTCAGTCAGTAAAGCAATACATGCAGTTCTACAGAAAACATTCAAGCAATACAGAAATCCATACAGTGAAAGGCGTGTCCTTACCCCCATGGGCTCTCTAATGTGCATTTAGGGTGCTGGAGCTTCAGGGCACCCAGCAGATAATATTTTTCTTTCCAGTCTGAATCTTGAACCAATTGAGAAATAAGATTAAGACAAATGGGGCCAAATATCACTTTTCTTAGTGATAGAGTCATTCTTGGAGGACATGCTTTATACTCATGGGCAAGTGGGTTTTCTAACACTTAACCCCAGAATTAGACAGACCACCATCCCGTCACTGATGGCGCTGAGCCATAGCCAGGGCAGAACCTTGATCATCACCCACAGCCTGGCCCAGGGCAACTGAGTCACAAAGTCTCTGCAGGCAGCATGCCGTCAAAAAGCGGGGACAGAAGGGACCAGAACTATGCACGCCAGTTCCTTATCCCAAATGCATCATCGTGTGTGTGTGTGTGTGTGTGTGTGTCTGTGTGTGTGTCTGTGTGCGTGCGTGGGTGTTGAGGGGGCTGATGAGAGGATAGAGAGAGGTCGGAGTCCCCAGCTGGTGCAAACAGTTAACGCTGTCAGCTGCTAATGGAAAGGTTAGTTCGAGTCCACCCAGAGGCACCTTGGAAGAAAGGCCTGACGAGCTACTTCTGAAAAATCAGCTATTGAAAACCCTGTGAAGCACAGTTCTACCCGCACACAGGTTGGGTGGCCATGACTTGGAATCAACTTAATGGCAACTGAGAGAGAGGTCAGGGAGCGTGTACTAACGGTTGATTCCCAGGAGCAAGAAAACATGAGAGGTGGGGCTGAGGGTTCTTCCACACACCTTATCTCCAGTTTTCAGCTACTGTATTAGTGCTTCCAGAAACATCCCTGCTCATAGTTCCTTGGGCCCCTGGGTAAGTATTTCTGTAGAAAAAGTTCCTACAAGAGAGTCAGTCATTATGTATGCTTTTGGTTGATGTGTACTGAGTATTGATTTTGGACCTGGCAGCTGAAAACTTTTTTTTTTTCCATTTCTGCTGTGATTTATGAACCTCACCTTATCAATACCCTCTTCCAGCAGGGAAAGCTGCTGCGAGCTGGAGCATGATGTTGCTTTAACAGCCTAAGCAGTCTGTCTGAAGTCAGTGGCAGAGACTCGGGGCCAGCCACAGAAGCGTGGAGCCAGGCTTCGGGTCTCCGCTTCTAAGCTGCATGTGCCCAGCAATGTCATTGATCCTCCTCCACCCTCAACGCCCTCCTCCGTCAAATGGGCATAACAGCACACCACCTAGAGGGTACTGGACTATTAAATGAGCTGATGTACTTGAAGTGTGTAGGAGACAGGTCAAGATAGGAGGAGGGAGAGAAGGGAAAAATTGGGGCTTCAAGAGCTATTTGGGGTGCCTTGTACTGAAAGGTCAATGCAGCCTCCAGGACAGCTATTCAGACTCTGGCTGAGCAGGCAACCAGGAATATCTGCCTGATGCTCGAATCACCTCCCAGGGACGCTAGGAAGCTCAAAGCCTCCAGGCTGTTCATCTTCAGCACAGCCCCCCAATGCCTGGTGCACCAGATGATCCTCTGTGGTCTCTCCTGATCCCCAAGCAGAATTGTTTCCTTGTGTGAGGGTGCTCAGGGGAGCGAAACTTCCGGAATGAGTGTGTATGACTTTAATAAGAAGAAAAATAAAGTGTAGGGCAGCTGCGCCACTGAATAGATGCTCTAGGCATTTACGGAGGACCCCGTATGTAACAGACACTGGTTCACAGCTCTTTCAGCCAGAAGGCGGGTGTTATTAACGTATTGTTGAGAATGAGAACACCAAGGCACAGATACGCAGCATAAGCTGCCCATGGGCGCCCAGCAAGGTCATGGGAAGGCTGACCCAGAACTTAGGTCCGAGCTCCCTTTCCGGATTTTGGGGACTTTGCTTGGGGTATAGGTCCCTGAGTGAAGCTAACGGTTTGCTCTTGGCTAGTAACCTAAAGGCTGGCGGTTCAAGCTCACTCAGTGGCGAGCACCGTGAAAGAAAGGCCTGGCTATCTGCTTCTGTAATGATAACCCCCACGAAAACCCTATGGGGCAGTTCTGCTCTAACACATGGGGTCGCCCTGAGTCGGAATCGACTCCACAGCAACGGGTTTTTGATTTGGGGTTGGGTGTGGCAGCCTGGAAGGCTTTGCCAGCGTGCCCTCTCCTGGTCGCCTCTGCCCGGGCACGAGCCTGCGGGAGCCAGCTCCAGGTTCCCGCGCCCTCCCTCTGCCTCCTCCCCGCCACTGTCCGCGCGCCCGCCCGCCAGCCCGTTGTCCCCCGCCAGTCCGGCTGCGTGGAGGCGCGCCGGCAGCGCCGCGTCCTTATCAGTGGGCCGGGCGGCTTAGCGCGCACAGTCACCTCCCCGAGGAGTAGCAGCCCCGGCCCGCCGCAGGTCGGGTGGCCCAGCCGTGGCTCCTCAGGGCCCGGCGGCCGGCCGGGGCCCAAGACCCTGCGGGGGGCGTTGAGCTCCAGAGCCGGCGGAACGTACAGACCCGCTGCCGTCGGGGCGCGGCCCGAGGAGCGCGCCGGCCACCATGCGCCCCCGCCAGCTGTGGCTGCTGTTGCTGCTTCTCGCCTGTTCCGTGCACCCCGTGAGTACGCGCCCCTTCCTCAGATGCCCCCCACCCGGCAGGCTGCGGGGCAGGGGGTTCCAAGGGCGAGCGTCTGGCCGCCTTTCCGGTCCCACGCGGGATGGTGGGAAGGAAGACCAGCACATCTTCAACTGAGGGTCTCCATCTCTCCCCCTCTCCCCGCCACTGCAACAATAACCTCTATCAGGTCTTCTCCAGAGGACCTGCTCCCCTAAAAGTAAAGACAGCGTGCGCCAGGCTGAGGCAGTTCTGATAACCCCCCTTGCCCTGCACGCGACCCCACCCTCCCGGCTGCGTCTCCAAGTCCCTCCTGGATGGAAATTCTGGAGCCGTCCCTGGCAGTGCCTGTTCTGCGCTAGACGCTTTGCCTGCATTAATTCACAGAAAGCTCAGAATCACCTTTCGAGGCTGATGTTACCACAACAGCAAAACTGAGGCTCAGAGAGGCCAAATGTCTCGCCCCACGTCACCATTTAAAAAACAACCTATAGACGTCGAATCGAATCGATTCCGTAGCGACCCTGCAGGATAGAGTCGAACTGCTCCCCAGGGTTTCCAAGGCTGTAAATCATTTCAGAAGCAGACTGCCACATCTTTCTCCGCATAGGGGCTGGTGGGTGGGTTCCAACCGTTTCCAACTGCAAATCTTTCATTAGCAGCCGAGCGCTCAGCCACTGCGCCACCAGGGCTCCTTATGTCAGGATATGAGGATTGGAACCCGCGTCTGTCCGCTCCAAAGCCTTGACATTTTCACTTGCACTGGGGCGCAGATGGGAAAACCTCGGAAAGCTCTGCCTGGAGCTTCCGGATCTGTGATGGGACCGTTTGTAGCTCCCTCCCTCCTCTCTTCTGTGGGATTTGGCTCCCTAATGTCTGAGTATCCGGGCTCCTGGGAGCAGCTGGTCCCCACAAAGCAGGTCCAGGGAGGAGGGCTGGACAGAAAAAGAGAAAGTGGCAGAGTGGGTGGCTTTTCTTTCTCACAGAAGCTGCTGGGAAGCCCAGGTGTCTCCCTCTGGAATTTGTGAATGAGAGACTGCTGGACTCAGACTGCCAGGCTGGAAGGGACCAGGGGCCATTCCAGAACGACCCCTCCCACCAGCATTCCAAACTGGCTCCCAAGGCCTCTGTCCTCAGAAATTCCCCAAGGAAAGTGCTTGGGGACCCAGTTCTGAGTCTCCAAGCTCTGTCCAGGGTAAGTTCATTGGGTGCCCAATGATGCAATGCTTCCTATAGGCCTCTCCTGCTTGGTTCTATCAGAAAAACCTCTGCTCCACAGCTGGCTGTGGGTGCTGACTCTCAGTAGGTGTCCATCTTTCTGGTAGCTCCGTGACATTCCAGCAGCAGTAGTTTGGAAGAATGGAATTTGAGGCTCACTCCCAGCTCCCTTGTAACCTTGGAGCCTCCTCTCCTCAGTGGCTATACTGGGGGAATGCCTCCTGGGACATCTGGGACAATTTAAAGCCAAATACAACCTGTTGTTAGCTGCCGTCCAGTCGGCCTCTAACTCATGGTGACCCCATGCACAATGAGAGCAGAGCCCTAACTCATGGTGACCCCGTGCACAATGAGAGCAGAGCCCTAACTCATGGTGACCCCATGCACAATGAGAGCAGAGCATTCTGACCCACAGAGTTTTCGTTGGCTGATTTTTCAGAAGTAGATCACCAGGCCTAGTCCATCTTCGTCTAGAAGGTCTGCTGAAATCTGTTCTGCATCATAGCAATACCCAAGCCTTCAATGACAGACAGGTGGTGACTGCGCTTGAAGTCATTGGCTGGGAATCGAACCTGAGTCTCCCACATGGAAGGCAAGAATTCTACCACTGCCCCCAAATGCAGCCTAAAGGCATCATTCACTGTTATTCAGTGCCCGGTGGTGGTGCAAGAGGCACTAGCTCTCTCCTTGTGACCTTCCTAGCTGGGAGGTCAGCAAGTGAGTGGCAGAGCTGGGACTAGAACCTAGACCTCCTGATTCCCAGCCACCTGGGGCTCTGTCCATTACGCATTCACGTCATTGTCAAACACTCCTGTACTGCCTTGTGTTATTATGAGGTGGTTTCCTATGTTTAAGCCTTGGTCCTCTGGTTACTTTATGGGCTTATCCAGAACAGAGGTTGTGCTCACACTTCTAGGCAGAGAACTCCTCTAATAGAAATAGAATTGACCTACTTTGCTTGGAATATGTCCCAGTCTCTGAAACCCTGCTTTCCTTTGGTTTGTTTGACTCCGGGTGGTCAGACATTTGATTAAGAAATTTAAGGGTATTCATATATATATATTTTCATTCGTTTGCTCCCCGCTCTCCTCAAGGAGATCATGGGCATCTTCCTAATGGTGACTCATTAAGGCCAAATTGCCTAGGATACTGCCCTCCACCCCCCTGCCACACACACACACACACACACACACACACACACACACACCTTTCCGTCCAGGAAGGTGTTAGGAGGGGCCCTTGCAAATGGAAACAAAAAAGTGGTAATGACTGATGAGGGCAGTTTTTGAGGCTTCCCATGGGAAGCATCGAGCACATCTCCCTCTGCCCCGCCCCTATGTCATGAGGACTTTTACCTGGAACAATATTGTAATTCTTTATCAACACATCTCTTCTACTCCACCCTGCTCCAACTCTTCCGACACACACTCTGAGCTTGGTTGGGCATTGAGACTCTGTTTTGTTTGTCCCTTCATCCCTAGAGCCTCTCACAGTGTAAAAGGGGGCTCGATGGGTGTGTCTTGACTGACTGATGAATGAATGAATGAAATGGAGATTCCCATGGAAGAGTGTCTTAAATAAGCTGTGGCAGTTTCACAGGTAACAGGTAATGAGGAAGGAAATCTTGAAAGCACTTGTTGCTTTGCTAAGAAGTATATATGTAAATGACAAAAACCTAACCCGTTACCACTGAGTCAATTCAACTCATAGGACAGAGTAGAACTGCCCCATAGGGTTTCCAAGAAGCAGCCGGTGGATTAGAACTGCTGACCTTTTGGTTAGCAGCCAAGCTCTTAACCATTATGCCACCAGGGCTCCCATAAGTGACAAGCAATGGAAATGACAAACAATGGAAAAATAGTCATTCAAGGTAGGGCTTTTTAATCCCTGGCATCTGGCAAACTGTCAGTGTGATAACCTTAGTGAGTTAAATGTGTGGGGCTGCTTTTTCTTGAAAGCAGGGTTTATCAACTTGGACATTCTGGACATTTTGGGCTGGATGATTCTTTGTTATGGGGGGCTGCCCTGTGTATTGTGGGGTGTTTAGCAACATCCCTGGTCTCTACCCACTCGATGCCAGTCACACCACCACCTCCCTAAATTGTGACAATAGGAAATGTCTCCAGACAGTGCCACATGTCCTCTGGGGGTTGGAGGGGGGCAACATCACCTTATCTGAGAACCGCTGCCTGAAAGGTCGTCATGTTTCAGAACAGCCGCGTTAACAGGGCAAACAATAGGTGTTCACAGCATGTTGGAATTGGAGCAGTGGAGCTGGTAAAAGGATGGAAGCAGGAGTAACTGATGGAAACCCATTTCCAAGCCGGACAAAAAGACTTCTGCCTGCACCGCGTTCCGAGCCCTTCTCCAGCCTCCCGTCCCACTTTCCCTCTCCTCACCCTGCCCCTCCCCAGCTGAGGGCTCAGAGATAAGCCTGCCAAGCATGCAGACGCCTCTGGTGCACGGTGGTTCCTCTTTCCATGGAGCATCTGGACCCAGGGGCTGACAAGCCGTGGCGGTGGGCGAGCAGAGTTTTAGGAAGGCCTATGTCTCGGGCTGGGTTCTCTAGAGAAGCAACACCAGCAAAATGTATAAATATATATAAAGAGAGATTTATATCAAGGAAATGACTCATGTGGTTGCAGAGGCTAGAAAGTCCCAAGTCCATCATTCAGGCTGGAGGCTTTTCCTGATTCACATAGCGAAAGGGGCTGGTGAACCCAAGATCGGCAGATTGGAGGGCAGGGCTCTTGCTCACAGGCTGCGATGATCGACGAATCCCAAGATTGGCAGGCAACACCACAGGTAAGTTGCCAGCTCAAGTCCCAAGAACCAGAGGTCAGACAAACAGGAGCCAGCTGCAGGATCCAGAGCGAGCAAAAAGCCTACGAGCCTTGCCAGAATGTCTCCTTATATTCGATGCAGGCCACACCCCCAAGGAGGTGCCCTTTCAACCGATTGGCTACTCACAGCAGATATCATTATGGAGGTGATCACATTATATCAAATCTCATCATGGAAGTAATCACAACATCATACAACTGCCAAACCACTGAGAATCATGGCTCGGCCAAGTGGACGCACAACCTTAACCATCACAGCCCACGAGGGTCACCTGGGGGGACTCTCCAGAGGAGGGTCGCTGGTACTTTGTGTACCCAAAAAATCACTTTCTAATTTTTTGAAGGTGTTTTTGTGGATTTCTTTTTAAAGGATGACCGCCCCTAGAATTAATATGTAAGTAATAATAACAATGATGATGATCACTTACTGATCAACTTATTGAGAACTTACTTCATGCCAAGTACTCTGCTAAGTCCTTCCCAGTACTGATTTAATTTTCACCTCACCAATTATTACCACCATTGTGCAGATGAGAAAACGGAGGTTCAGAGAGAGGTGAAGCCATTTGCCCAAGGCAGCTCACTTGGACATGGTGGTAGGGTGAGAACTCAAGCTCAGCTGTTCTTAACTAGCACATGCTCTACCCCAATAGAGAAACCTGCTCTGTTCTCTGGTGTCCCAGGGACTGTCATTAAATTCTTTCCCAAACCTCCCTTTATGAAACACAAAACAAACAGTAAATTACATACAGCATTTTATTGAAGGGGCCAGAGATGAGCCTGGGGCCAGAAAATCAAACAAATGGGAGGAGGGACCACTTGACAAGTTGTTTAGGGGAGTCCTTCTCCTGGCTTTGGCATCACCTGTTGGAGTTCCCTAAGAACTCACCTCCCTCCACCCTCCTTAGCCCATTGCTCCCACCCCAGGTAGAAGGGCCCTGAGTCTCCTCCATGCCAAAGGAGGCATAGCCTCTCTTCCTGGCACCCCTTGTTGAAAGCCCAGATTTAACATCTGGGATTAGGGCTCTATCACCAGAGTGACCCCCCAGTGACCCTCAGTTGGATCCCTCCTTCCTTGACCTTGGTAAGCTGAGGTGTCTCACTGCTGAGCTTCACTCAGGCGCAGGTACAACCTACAGTCCAAAGTAAAACCCATAACACTCAGATCCTATCTGCCTGCTTACATTACAAACAGAAGGCTGGCCAGCTAGAGGAAATAGGAGTATCCTGGGGCACACTCAACCTCAACATTCTGTGTCCCACAGATCTGAAGGGCTGTTTGAGGAGAGGGCCTCCCTGGTTAATCATGTCCTGCAGTCCCAGACTTGTCGCCCAAGAGCCAGCCAACTGGGCTACGAGGATTCCGGAGTTTTCCAGAGTCCTTTCCAGAATCTCCACATGTTCCGGTCAGTTCCCTCACCCATGTCTCTCAGAGGCTTCTCCAGGTTTCCACCTGCCTTTTCACATTCCTGACCTCACTCCCCACTCCCCAGCCCCACCACTCCCTCATTTTCAACAGATGGGTTAGCCTCCAATTTCCTGAGAGTCAGGACTACGTGGGTGAGCTTCCTCTGACTAACGTTTTCTTTTCTTTTTTTTAAATAATATTTTATTGTGTTTTTGGTGAAGCTTTACACAGCAGTTTAGGTTCCCATTCAACAATTTGTACACGAATAGCTCAGTGACATTGGTTACATTCTTCACAATGCATGAACATTCTCATTGTTTCTGTTCTGGTTGTTTGCTTTGAATTAATCTAGTTTCTCTTCCCCCTTACATTCTCATCTTTGTTTTAAAGTAATTTTTAACCGTTTCATCTCATATAGGTGATTTTTTAAAGAACTACAGTATTTACAGGTGATATGTATTATTTTGTGAGCCAATCTGTTATTTGGCTACAAGATGACCTCAGAGGGTAGTTTCAGTTCAAGGTTTAAAGAGTATCTCAGGGCAGTAGTCTCAGGGAGTCCTCCAGTCTCAACCAGTCCAGTGAATTTTTTTTTTTTTTTAGGAATTTGATGTTCTGCTCCACACTTTTCTCTCATTCTATCAGGGTCCATCTATTGTGGCCTTGATTAGAAAAGCCAGTAGTGGTAGCTGGGCACCATATAGTTCTTCTGGTCTCAGGGTAGATGAGGCTGTGGTTCGTGAAAACTATTTGTCCTGTAGACTAATTTCTTCTTTGAGTCTTTGGTTTCATAACTTTATGAACTATATTATGCCAATTGACTGAGATGTCCCATGAGATTGTGGTCCTAATCTTTCAAACCCAGAAAACCAATCCTGAGAGGTATTTGGTTATGTCTAAGAAGTATTCGTAACTGTGTCTCCTATGTGCTTTACCATGTATATGAATATATGTGCAGTCACATGCATGCATATACATATGCATACACCTATATACACATATATATGTACACGTACCTATAAACATATATCCACCACATATCTGTCAGTTTGTTGTACTGTGGTGACTTGCATGTTGCTGTGATACTGGAAGCTTTGCCACCAGTATTTTAAATCCCAGCAGGGTCACCCTTGGTGGAAGGGTTTCAGCTGAGCTTCCAGACTAAGACAGACTAGGAAGAATGACCTGGCAGTCTACTTCTGAAAAGATTGACTGCTGAAAACCTTATGAATAGCAGCGGAACAATGTCTGATATAGTGCCAGAAGATGAGCCCCTCAGCTTGGAAGGCACTCAGAAGACAACTAGGGAAGAACTAGTTCCTCAAAGTAGAGTCGACCTTAATGATGTGGATGGAGTCAAGCTTTCAGGACCTTCATTTGCTGATGTGGCATGAATCAAAATGAGAAGAAACAGCTGCAAACATCCATTAATAACCAGTGTCTTAGGCTGGGTTCTCTAGAGAAGCAAAACGAGTAAAGTGTATAAATATATATATATAGAGAGAGATTATATCAAGGAAACAGCTCACGTGATTGTAGAGGCTAGAACACCCAAGTCCGTGGATCAGGGTAGAGGCCTCTCCCAAGTCACACAGCTGCAGAAGCTGGCAAGCCCAAGATCGGAAGGTCGGAGAGCAGGGCTCCCACTCACCGGCTGTGCAGATCAACGAATCCCAGGTTCAGC